AACTTCGATTGTATGTGAATTAATGGAGCGTATTATACGTGATGAGATAACGAAACATTAAGTAGTGCACAATTCGAAAAAAAAACAACAGCAGGCTTCGTTAATAAAAAAAATTGCGCTACCGGTTAGCTTGAATCAATTGATTTTTTCACAAAAGTACTTGGAGTTGGATGTAATGTAGATGAGTTAATATTAGATTTTTCAAAAGTATTTGGCTCGGGACTAGAAACAAATTATTCTTGTGGTGTAAAAGTTTTTAAGCCAAAAATTGCAAAGAGTAATACTTGGAGAATTTGTATCAGATTGGGAGAAAATAGATAGTGACTCGGTTTTAGGTCCAATATTCTACGTGGTATTTATAAACCATTTTTTTAATAAAAATCAAAAATGAAGGCAAACTATTCGCTGACGATACTAAACTATTAGCAGTCATAAAATCGGAATCAGATAACATCAGTTTACAAAATAATCTTAATATTTTAAAAGAATGGACAGAGGACCGGCGAATAAAATTTATCTCGCAAAAATTTAAAGTAATGCATTTCGGGTATAACAACCCTAAATACAAATATAAAATTGATGAAGTTATACTAGATGAAGTAAAAGTTGAAAAAAAGATTTTGGTATATTTATCTTGAATGATTTTGATTGGAGTCACCAATTATGCTATACGATTAATAAAGCAAATAAACTAATAGAAAGAATTAAATATGCATTTGAATATATAGATGAAAGTATTATTAACTTATTATACAAATCATTAGTTCGTGTCCACCTCAAGTATGGAGCAGTTATTTGGAACCCCTATTGAAAAGGAGAAATCAATAGACTTGAAATAGTTCAAAATAGAGCCACAAAAATATCATATCTAGTTAGTTATGGTCATGAAAAAAGAAATTTAAAATAAAACTGCCTTCATTAAAAAACAATAGAAGGCGGTGATTTAATCCAAATGTTCAAATTAGTAAAACGAATTGATGAAATAAATTTGCATAACCAAATTGACTATTTTAATACTAATGGTCGAGCAAAAGGTCATAAATTAAAAATGCATAAGGAGTCAATAAAAACATAAAATAACTACAAGTTTAATACAATCAATTTTTTTCACTAATAGAGTTGTAAATGACTGGATTGTAATAACACAAGAAATCATCGAGTCAACGAACGTAAATCAGTTTAATAACCACATTGATAAATACTTTAAATTTTAATCTCAAATCTCAGACCTTGTATATCATTTTTATTTCTTGTTAAATTTTTTGGCTGTTATAGACTGAAATTTTACGTAATTTCAGTTTCAACTCTTATGAGTTACAGCGTCATTTTTATAAATTCTATCAAATTAGAGTTTTTTATGAAATTAAACAAGAATATGTGATTGAAATTCAGGCATATATTTTCTTTAAGTTTTGAAAAAAGTCTCATTACAATTCAGTTGAATTGTTGATTATTATTATCATTTATTGTTTGCTTATTTATATTGCATTATATTAGAATATTGTTTTAATAATGTTGTCTTGAAATTTGGTAATCATACTTACTAAATTAACAACCTGCTAAAAACTGTTAAAAAAACTTGATAGAAGTAAAATATTAACTGAATTAGGAATTTTAAGAGAACTGATTAAAAATCGAAATTGGAAATACTTTATGAGTAAAATCAGAATTAGAAATTAAATCAACGGCACAAGAACCTAACAAAATCTGAAATATAAAATATATTTCCAACTTAAATAGTTAATTTCGAACTATTTTCAACAATAAGCTTTTTACTCTCTCTTTTTTACAAAATTCAAGATGTCACCCAGATGTCACAAGATGTCACTTTTTACAAAAGTTGCTTGTTACAAGTTTTTCTTGACTTTTACAAAAGTCAAGAAAAACTTGTAACAAGCAACTGTGAAATATGATAAAACAACGCAAAACATGTTTCTGTACTCCACCAAAGTCACAACTTATCAAAGTAACTCACTTGTTTAAAAGACTAAAATGTAATTTCAAAAGTCCTACCCTGGGAAAAAAAAAACTGTATAAGATTTACATAAGTTTTCAAAACATATGAAGTTCTTTTAAATTTCTTACAGAAATAAAATAGAACTTCTATAAAAGCTTTATTAATTTCTATAGAAATTAATATAAAGTTTTTTTCAATATATATTTATATAGAAAAAAATGTATTCGATAAGAAATTCCAGAGAAATTATCTAATTTAATAACAATTAAAGTAAAAAAATGTTCTAAAATTTTTTTAATTAGTTTCGATAGAAATTCTATTTGAATTAAAAATAAAACAAAAGTTTTAAATTTTAGGTTTGGACTACTCAAGACTCTCCATCCTCCCTTTACCATCATAATGCAAAATAATTTGTTATCCAACACCGTTACTAAACTGATTTTTAATATCTATTAAAATGTATTACTAAAATAACAATTGAGAAAATAAAAGACAAATAAAACGATTGCTAATTAATGAAAAAAAGTTTTGTACAAAACTTACACTATCTATAGCATCAACAGGAAAACCTTCAATTAACAACTTTTCAACTTCAGATTGGTTGTCTTGTCGACATGCCAGCATTAGCTGCGTAAGATTTGAGTCCTAAATATATATTTATATAAATATATATATATATATATATATATATATATATATATATATATATATATATATATATATATATATATATATATTTATATAAATAAATATATATATATATATATATATATATATATATATATATATATATATATATATATATATATATATATATATATATATATATATATATATATATATATATATATATATATATATATATATATATATATATATATATATATATATATATATAACAAAAGCTTTTATGATGAGGTTCTCACTATTCTGCAGTAGTAGCAATAAAGAGTATTGTTGTTTACAAATAACAAGATTAAGTGAATGGGCACCATGCTTCACAAATAATGAACAAGGTTATACAAAACCATTAAATACAATTTACAAAGATATCAATGAATCCGAAAATCCTCAGTCAAAGTTAAACGAAGGAGAATTGTACTCTGTCAATGCTAAACAGATATCTAACGACGGACTTGAGAACTTCGAGGTAACGATTAACATAGAAAATATACCAATAACCATTTTAATTGACACCGGAGCTTCGATAAACATTCTAAACTTTAAAACATTTGAAAAGATAAACAACTTCCTTAAAAGACCACTTCGACTACAAAAATCTAAAACACAGAATATTACTTACGGGGATAACAATCCAAAACTCAAAATAGAAGGACAGATCAATGTCGTGATAGAAAGACAAACCAAATTTCGTCAGTCCACATTCCACGTGGTTAAAACACACCACAATAATCTGTTATCTGGAAATGAGCTAAGTACTCTCCAACTACCAAGTAAAATTGAAAATTAATGAAAGTATACTACCAGTCGCACAAGAAGAAAAAAGAATTCCTTTTGCACTTAGAGAAAAGGTTAAAGTTGAACTTGCAAAACTTGAAGCAGAAGGAATAATTGAAACGGCAACAGACGAAGCGACACCCTGGATAAGTCCAATGGTAATTGTGCCAAAAAATGACGACAACCTAAGAATTTGCGTAGACATGCGAGCAGCTAACAAAGCTATTGGAAGAACACGTTTTCCAACTCCAACCCTGAACGATGTTATTATAAAACTAAAAGACTCCGCCGTTTTCTCGAAACTAGATTTAATGAAGGCATTTCACCAGCTCAAACTTGCACCGGAATCAAGATCAATAACTACTTTTCAATCCGAAACTCAAATTAATCGTTTTAAAAGACTTAATTTTGGAGTAAACTCCGCGCAGGAGGAACTACAAAACGCTTTACGAGAAGTTTTAAAAGATATAGAAGGTAGTTATTGAACATTGAACATATATATATATATATATAACATATATATGAACATATATATTTATATATATATGAACATATATATATATATATATATATATATATATATATATATATATATATAATATATATATATATATATATATATATATATATATATATATATATATATATATGTTCAAATAACAATGAACATTGAACATATATATATATATATATATATATATATATATATATATATATATATATATATATATATATATATATATATATATATATATATATATATATATATATATATATATTTGAACATTGCCGACGAAGTTCTAATTTTCGCTTCGAATACAAAAGAGCACGATTTAATATTACATAAAGTCTTAGAAAAATTTAAACAGAGAGGTTTAACTCTAAATTTTGAAAAATGCTTATTTGGAAAAGAAAAAGTCAAATTTTATGGATTTATATTTTCAAAAGAAGGAACGCAACCAGATCCGGAAAAACTTTATAATATCAAGAACATGCCAACACCAGAAAACACTAAAGCTCTCCAAAGTTTTCTCGGGCTTATGAACTTTTTTAAACATTTCATTCTACACTACAGTACAATTACTTATCCATTGAGAAACCTTCTGCATAAAGATTCCTTATGGAACTGGGACCTTGAGTGTCAGCATGCATTTGACAAACTAAAAAACGCTATAACATTGGACTCATGTGTCGGATACTTCGATCCCAACAAAGAGACTACTGTTTTCACCGATGCAAGTCTTTTAGGTATATCGGCAGTCATTGTTCAAAACACTCCAAATAAACAAGATTTTAAACTAATATCTTATAATTCGAAAGCGCTATCGTCAGTACAACAATGCTACTCTACGCTCGAAAGAGAACGTTTAGCTATAGTATACGCCTGCGAGCATAACAAAACATACCTATTTGGACACCCTTTTAAAATGTACAGCGACCATGAAGCTATTGTAAAGATTTTAAACGCTACAGTACCACTTCGCATTGACTTAACGATTACAGGGATATTCTTTTGATTTACACTACGTAAAAGGAAAAAATAATATATCTGATTATTCTAGTCGACACCCTGTAGATCCTTGTAAGGACGAAGGGCTAGAAAAATATGTCAATTTTACAGCTGAATACGCATGCCCTAAAGCCCTTTCACTACTGGATATTCAAAGAGAAACTAAAGCCGATCCTATTCTACAAATACTTACAGAGTTAATTACTACTAATACCTGGCATAAACTATTACACCCGAATTGTCCGCCAGAACTAAAAAAATTTTAAAAAGACTTACTTGCTTACCGTAATATACGCCAAGAACTTACAGTAAATCAGACTTCAGACCTTGTTCTAAAAGCAAATCGAATGTACTTCCACATTCTCTGGAAATTACGGTTATTCAGCTTGCTCATAATAGTCACATGGGACTTGAGAAAACCAAATCATTACTTAGAGAAAAAGTTTACTTTCCTGGTCTAGACACTAAAGTAGACGAATATATAAAACGATGTGCAATTTGTCAAGCCCTTAGTAAACAAAATGTACCAGCCGAACTATTAATCACACCAACACCAGAGGAAGTTTGGGAAAACTTTTATATAGATTACCTCGGTCCTTTACCTAATGTATTTTATTTGGTAGTCCTTATAGACCAAACATCAAAATTTCCGGTTATCGATATTATACATAATACATCAGCTGACCTCCTCATTGATTTTCTACAGAAAAAAGTTGCAGTATATGGAATACCGAAAATAATTGTCAGAGATAATGGACCACCTTTTACTTCATTCAAAATAAAGATTTTTTGAACAAACTGAATATTTAACATAAACGAATCACCCCGCTTTGGCCGCAAGCAAACTCACAAGCCGAATCCTTTTGCAACCACTGATTAAAACAATACGAGCAGCACAGATTGAACGGAAAGTCTAGAAAAAGCAATTATACAATTTCCTGTTCTCCTACCGTACCACACCCCATTGCACAACCCGAATACCACCACCTACACTCATGTTTAATCGCGTTACAGGTTTTACAATACCTTCATTCCAAACAAGGGTCGATACAAATATCAATGATCAAGCCAAAAAGAGATAAGAAAATGCAGAATTAGTTATACAGAAAAAAATATCGGGGATACAGTACTGATAAAACAAAAAAAATATATAACAAAATTACGGCACCATTCGAGTTCAAACCCTACACAATTACTGTAAAGAATGGTACAATGATCACTGCAAAATCTCCCGTCGACAATTCTCAAAAAACTCGAAATGCTTCACACATGAAGAAAGTACCAACGGATATACAATTTAATCCGATGCCAATTAAAGAAGAGAAAGATGAAGAATACCTCCAGAACGAATCAATTTTGCCAGAAAAGGAAATAACAGCTACTATGCCGACACAACTAAGAAGCTATCATCAAGAACCGATTCTGAAGACATATCCTAAAAGAGAAAGACGTCTTATAGAATTATGGAGGAAGTATTAAAACATTATAAAACACAAACAATAAAATTTCATTTACAGAAGAAGGGGAAGATGTAAGAATGTGCTCCGAGATCTTAATTAAAACTATATTTACGTTATTGTAACTTTATGAAGGCATGATATAGAAAATAAGTAATAAGAAATGCTGTAGTTTATCATTAAAGTATCTTAATTGTTTTGTCATCTAAATCAAATATTTTTAAACTCTTCTTATAAAAATCACTATTTCAAATGTACGTAAGTATTTTTCTCCATCGCATCATTCGTAGGTTCATCTTGAGGACCACCGATTTTACCTCCAGTGGTTGGTCTCAAGAAGGAATTATAACTGTTATGGTGCTTAGCGTCAGCAGCAACTAAATCATATTAATTCTTAATGCGAGCAGTAACATTTTTTACTCCGTCATTAGACCGACTTCGAGCGGCCTTCAGAATTTTTTGAATTCAAGATTAGCAACTTTATAAATTTTACTTCTGACATTTTTTTCTAACAATATTTTTTTCAAAAAAAACATCGACAAAAAATAAACAATATTTTTAAGCAAAAATTGGATTCACTTAAGCGAGCTCTGGTATGAGGTGGACTAATTTTGTTATTGGCATTATCCATGTGTTGCTGTCTTTTAAATGCGGCAATAGTACTCTAACGAACAAAAAATTTTACGGCATTTGCACAAAAATTGTCACAGACTTCTGACCATTCAGGTACTTAAGGTATCCGTTATTTCTACAAAAAATAATCAAAGTCGTCAATCTACAATCAACAACAACTGTTTCACTTGCTGTTAATAGGGTTGTTAATGGGAAAGGGGGAGTTTGGAATGTAATAAAGAAACTCTGACCCAATTCGAACGGGTGGGGTCTGGGATTATCTTATTACTAATAAGAAATATTGTTAATAACCACACGAATTCACTGCATAAGACATTTATAAAAAGTCAGACAAATTATAGTCTAAAACAAACAGAACGCGCTTATCCACTTTAAAAGTATTTTATCTCAGTATACTAAATAACGCACATTCAGTTTGTCTCAGACGGTATTTTGTTTGACTTTTCGCTTGACAAACCGAACGCACGTTGTTTAGTACACTGCAGCATATTAAACAACGCGCGTTGCTAAAAGTAGATGACTTTTTGTACTCTTTTTCAAAAAAAAAAAACGCATACTTGTAGGCAGAAAAAACAAATATTTAGAAATTTTCCAGTAAAAACATTGTGATATTTGTATGTTCTGTTAGAAAATTAATTCACTGTTTTATTTTTTAACAAGAATTTAAATATTTCAACAAGTTGTTGTGTAGCTAGTTACTTATGTAACTAGCTACACAACAACTTGAAATTATGTGAAAACTAATGTGGATTTAAAAGAAACTCTATAAATAAAGTTTATAGAGTTTCTTTTGTAAAATCAATTTTTAAAAATAGAAGACGTAAAAAGTGGATTAAAGCGAAGAGATAAAGCCTAATCCATCTGATTTTATAACTCCAATTACTATTTCGATCTAAAAAAGAGAAGAAAAATGTATTCTATGAAGCTTTATGTAATAAACAACAATCATTTGACTACCAATACTTTCATCTGTGATATAGAGCTTGATAACTATACTGAGAAAATACATTATGACACCAAACAACCTAATAATAAGTCTACTATTTCTTGATATTATCAATACAATATTTATAAAGAAAAATTTTAAACTTTTTACTTTCAATTAATGCAGCACAAACTTAATTGAAATATTAAATTTGAAAAATAAGCTTGACTTGAACAAACATATGACACATAGTAAACTTTATACTAAAATCTAACATCAGACAAATAATTTTTTTTTTGTCTTATCTTAAAGAATGTTAATGCCCCTTTTCAAAAGATTTAAAACTTGGTTCACTTGTGATTGTTGTTATAAACATTTTAGTTTTAATACAAAAAAGTATTGATTTTATATATATATATATATATATATATATATATATATATATATATATATATATATATATATATATATATATATATATATATATATATATATATATATATATATATATATATTCTTTAAACAAAATGCGGCAGTACTTAGAAACATCATAGAAAACCTTTTTTTTTTATTAATAATTTTTATATGGTAAGGAACAACTTTCTTTGCAGCCACGTGTAATTTTCTGATTTTTCAGATTTTGCCCAACCCTTATACCCTTATATATATATATATATATATATATATATATATATATATATATATATATATATATATATATATATATATATATATATATATATATATATTTATAGGAATCTTTCTCATTTTTAATTCGTATAAAAATTAAGTAAAAAACTTACGTCATAGTTATCAGGAATTGCATCATAATGATTTTTTAAATCCTCTGTTTGATTAGAGCTTGTTTCAGCTAATGAATTCTCAAAACCATTAATAAAAGTTGTGTTTTTGTTCTTTTGAGAAATTAACTTTTGTGATATTCTATTCCACATTATGGTTATCAAGTTGGTTATCAATTTATCAAATTATTCAAGTTTTTTGTATAAATGATTGTTATTTTCTAATCCTAAAAAGAGCCTGAAAACGTAATTTATGACAAAAAAAAAAAACAACACATGTAAGTTAATGTTTTATTTTTTGCGCATTGGTTTAAAAACTATTGAATGGAATACTTTAATTCTTTCAGTATTCAAGTTATTGATTTGTAAGATATTCAACTTATGTACAAACGAAAGTGACGCCTAAATATTAACATAAAATATAAAACAAACGACATTTCATTTATGCTCATATATGTCAGTTTGCATTTTCTAAACATACTTTTAACTTTATTTATTTGAAAAGATGCATTTGTTTTGAGTGATTTATTGGTATTATGGATTGAATTATTGAGTACTTTAATATACACTATAACATAAGCCATGTATGGGAGTTAAGGGAGCCTACATTTGTTTCAATCAGCTAGCGAATAGCTAGCTATAATCGTACGATAAAGACAGCAATTTGGCCATGAGGATCGCTAGCTTTTTTAAGTTAGCAAAAGCTATGATATTTGTAAAGATAAAGACTGCAATTTGGCTAGGAGGACAGCTACCTTAATAAGCTAAAAACCCAGTGGCTATAGTAGCAAGCGTCATATCGTAATAAAATCTATAGATTTGTAGATGATTTGTAGCTTGCTACAATGGTACGATATGTAGTTAGCAACGCATTGCTTCAAAATTGTAATGTTTAAATTTCAATTATTTTCATAATTATAATTGACTTCACATTATATATGGAATTTTTAAAGATGTTAAAGACATTAGGAAAAAATAAAATAAGAAAAAAAATTACTTGAAAATCGCTTTAAAGCTAGCTTGTCGCTTGCTAGTCGCTAGCTCATTTCCCACCGGGTTACTTGTATGAAATTTTCATTTTCTTATACAAATGATGAGAGGTCTAGAACATTACTTTTCTTATACAAATGATGAGAGGTCTAGAACATTACTTTTCTTATACAAATGATGAGAGGTCTGGAACATTACTTTTCTTATACAAATGATGAGAGGTCTGGAACATTACTTTTCTTATACAAATGATGAGAGGTCTAGAACATTACTTTTCTTATACAAATGATGAGAGGTCTGGAACATTACTTTTCTTATACAAATGATGAGAGGTCTAGAACATTACTTTTCTTATACAAATGATGAGAGGTCTAGAACATTACTTTTCTTATACAAATGATGAGAGGTCTAGAACATTACTTTTCTTATACAAATGATGAGAGGTCTAGAACATTACTTTTCTTATACAAATGATGAGAGGTCTGGAACATTACTTTTCTTATACAAATGATGAGAGGTCTGGAACATTACTTTTCTTATACAAATGATGAGAGGTCTGGAACATTACTTTTCTTATACAAATGATGAGAGGTCTAGAACATTACTTTTCTTATACAAATGATGAGAGGTCTGGAACATTACTTTTCTTATACAAATGATGAGAGGTCTGGAACATTACTTTTCTTATACAAATGATGAGAGGTCTAGAACATTACTTTTCTTATACAAATGATGAGAGGTCTGGAACATTACTTTTCTTATACAAATGATGAGAGGTCTAGAACATTACTTTTCTTATACAAATGATGAGAGGTCTAGAACATTACTTTTCTTATACAAATGATGAGAGGTCTAGAACATTACTTTTCTTATACAAATGATGAGAGGTCTAGAACATTACTTTTCTTATACAAATGATGAGAGGTCTGGAACATTACTTTTCTTATACAAATGATGAGAGGTCTAGAACATTACTTTTCTTATACAAATGATGAGAGGTCTGGAACATTACTTTTCTTATACAAATGATGAGAGGTCTAGAACATTACTTTTCTTATACAAATGATGAGAGGTCTGGAACATTACTTTTCTTATACAAATGATGAGAGGTCTAGAACATTACTTTTCTTATACAAATGATGAGAGGTCTAGAACATTACTTTTCTTATACAAATGATGAGAGGTCTAGAACATTACTTTTCTTATACAAATGATGAGAGGTCTGGAACATTACTTTGATTAAAATCGTATTTTTGATCTTATATTCTTAATAAAAATTAAAAAAGAAATGTTTGGTTACTAGAGTTTTTTGAGCTTTTTATAATAATAACAAAATTTTTTTTTTTAGAACAAAACAGTTCTTTGTAATTAAATAAATGTATAAATAAATCATTTTAAATCTCATTGTTTAGTTTGTTGATATAAAATAAAAATTTATTAATACTTACTAAAAAATGTTTACTATAAAAGTTTAGCAATGATGATATCGTGATATTCTTGGCCTTCGGCGTTTATAAAGAAATAGACTAAAATAATATCTGAAAACGCTTCTTCAATCCTGATAGCTAGATTACTAATCAGGATTACAAGAGCACTTATGTTAATAAATTTTTTTTATACTAAATGTTAAAGAATAAAAAGGGTATTTTTTAAAAATATGTTCAAGACTAATAATTCCTTTTTTTCGGAAAATTTTCAATACTGTATGATAACATTTTAACAATAAAATTAAAGAACTTGTCTACAGGCTTGACAACGTTAAAGTACTGGCTGTAAAAGTAACAAAGTACCAGTAAACCAAAATATTTAAGTTAAAGTAAAAAATTACAGTATGTCAAAAGTACAGTATGTCCAAAGTACAGTATGTCCAAAGTACAGTATGTCGAAAGTACAGTACGCCGAAAGTACAGTATGTCGAAAGTACAGTATATCGAAAGTATTTTTTAGTTACAAAGTAAAGAGTACATTTGCACGTCGCAAAATGTAATACATTTAACATTACGTACAAGAAATAAGTTTTTAGACCATCATTAAATAAAACGTAATATATATTATATCTGTCAACGTAAATATGATTATTACAACAAGTGTGTTTTTACGGTTGTTTATATTAATGTTTGTAGATTGTTGCATTATAAAAATTTATATGAAAAGGTGTAAAAAAAAAAAAGATCTATTTTATCTCCATAGAAGGGAGTATAGAGTATAGCTCTCTATACTCCCCTTTTTATTAGAAGAAATGAAACACAAAACAAAAGGCACGTTTAAGGATTCAACCCGGTACTAGAGTACAGGATTACTCTTCCAGATCACAATGAATCGTGGCGACTAAATACAAGCTTATACTATCTGTATACGCTGGAATTACTAAAAAAGAGATAGTCTTGGAATAACAGATACTGTTACCTATTCTTGACGTACCTACATTACAGGAAATTACGCATACGCAGTGTATTTAACCGAGCAGAGCAACGAGTGGCACCTCCTAGTAGAAAATTATTAATCTCATCTTGGTTCTCATGGTAATTATAAATGTTCACTGATAAAAAAAAATTGTTAAATATAAAAGACAACTTAGGCAATTTTAATAGAATTAATTTGTAAAATATAGAATTATTTTAAATTTATAATTAAGTGATATATCTTTTTAAATCAGGCAAGGTAGTAGATTAAGATTGAGAAAAGCAAAAAAAAAATTTTATCCTGGTTTTAGTAGTTGTTTGGTCTGACCTACAAATTGACGGTTACCCGACCGTTGCAGAGTAAATTGATCCAGAACAATTAGAGCTAAATTAAAGGAGTTTTTTTTATCACAAGATTTTTTTTTTTTTTTTAATTTTACATTTGATGGTCGTATTACAACTATATATTGCCAACAACAACAAAAATAATGATAATAATAATAAATTATCACAAATATAAAATAAGGTATCTGAAAGAAGATCAAAGGATCTTGTCGTCAGAACCTTAAATAAATTCCAACAAGCATTAACGTATCAAATTTTTACAAATTTCATAAGTATATATTATATAATCCAAAGAGAGATCACGCCGATCTACTCACCAATATTTTATATTCAATAAGACAAAATATGTCTTTTTCTTTCTCCGGCCATCTTTATTTTTTCTCCGGCAATCTATTTTTTTTTTATCCGCTCATCGGTATATTTTTATAATATCTATTGTATTTATATATTTATACACCAAAAAAACTATCTAGGTTGTCTATTGTTTCTCAGTTCAGTCTGTGGTAATTGATAGAACCTGTAAAAATGAAATATCTACTTTGACTCTCAAGCCATGCCTAAAAAAAACTTTTCTATCTATTCTTCCGCTTCAACACTCCCTCTTACTTTAGCGATGCGATCAGTTTGCATTTTTACCAATTGTCAGAGACAATTTTTAAAAGAAAAATCCTTCCATTTTTTCTTTCAAAAAGAATTTGAATAAATTTCCAAACTCTTCATCCTGAAAAAGAGTTTAGAAACTGTTGAATTGTTAGATGAAAATGAAGTTAACGCAACAAAAGTGATTTTGGAAACCATCGGATCCATAGGGATCAATTGCCCCATCTTTTCATTCCCCCCTCTTTTTTTTTTAATTTTTTTTTGTAAATTTATATAGTTAACAAAATATGTTTTTTTTTAAAATGGAAGTAAATTAGGTTTTGTTTAAAAGTTATAAGAAAAAAGTTGGACTGTTGCCAATCAAAATGACGTAATTTAATAGTTACAAACTAAAAAAGTAACAAAAAAAGTTTTATGGTTTAAAACTGAAAATTTCCTCCTTTCCCTTACTTTACTATAGTCTTGATCCACCGATTTAAAAAAACTTCAAAAATCACCTTTCTACCTTAAAAGGTCAGTTTTTATTATAACCAGGGGCGGATACAGACCATCAAGTGGGAGGGGGGCGTTCCAACTTGATGGTCTGTATCCGCCCCTGGTTATAATAAAAACTGACCTTTTATGAGAAAGAGAAGAGGGGGCGGGAATTTGGTGATAAATTGAAAAATGGACGAAGGGGCAGGGGGTCCAAAAATCGGAAAAAATCACGGACAATCGTTTATCAACGACCGTTTATAAGATGCTAAGATCTAGTTTTAAACTCTAAAAAAAAATTATACATTTTCAATAAAAGTTTTCAGTCGCTGTGAGCTCATATCTAATTTTGATTAGGGAAGCAACAACCTCAAGCCCAATTGACATACACCAAAACGACATGAATGACGTTATCTTATCCTGTGGTGCAAATCACTAATCTTTGAAAAGAATATTTAAAGCTCATTATATATTTAAATAGATAGTTGTTTAACAAAAATTAACCCTGTATTATTAATGTTGAAATAAACGGGAAAGACGTTTAAAAGTGTTTTTTTAATGTTGTAAATGTCACAAATCCGTGTTTAAACTTAATATAAACTCTAATCCTGTTTTTTATTATTTGCTAAACTTCCGTGCTAATATTGCGGTAGAATTATTTAACCGCAGTTTCACCTACTTGGTTGAAACAACAAATCTCGAGTAAACTCGCCATACTAAAAAAGTGTATAAATATAAATAAGATTATTTAAAAACTATACAAAGTTATATTGTTAAATTATTATAGACACGAAAATTATAAGTATTTGTCTAATATTAAAACTTTATATTATACGGACATATCGTTATCGTTATCGTAATTTAAATTAATTTAAAGAGTCAAAGGTTAAGAATTAGAGTATTTTGTTATGTAAACGTAATCATCCATAACGTCTGAAATCTACTTTAAGACATTGATCTAATGGATCAAAATGATGTTACTTTTAATCTTCGAGAATCTGTTTATACCAGTAATGATGATGATGGTGGTGGGGAAATGTCTGAGAGGGTATCTAGCCTTGCAAGTTGCATATATGCAGAATTCGAGAGAATGATGCAGAAATACGGTTCCAATGTGGTCGAAATGCTTATGCCAATGGTTATAAATGTTTTAGAGCAATTAGAAACTGCCTATAATGAAAATAATGAGCAAAATGTTGAGTTAGAATTACTTGCTGAGGATAATGAGCAACTCATGACACAATATGAGCGTGAAAAACAGTTAAGGAAGTTAGCAGAAACTGTAAGGAAAGTTTAATATTTTTAAAAACTTAAATAAAAATTTAAAAAGTACAAAAAAATCAAAAGAGAGTTCAAAAAATATATGTAATATATTATATTGACTGCATTAAAGTATCAGATTCAATTTGATATCAAAAAATAGGTGTAAGGGTAGGGATATAAAATGAAATTTTTAAGTTCATAAAATACTAGAATGTTTTATATCATTAGAAAGCCCTTCAATACAGTGTTTTAAATGTTATAATTATCAAAGTTGAACAATTATACAAAAAGTTATGTTGTTTTTAGTAGCTAATTTCTGATATATGGATATCAAAATTTTCTTTTCTTTCACCTAAATTGTTATAAATTAAAACAATTATTATCTAAATCTGTAGTACTTGGTATTAAAAGATAGTTGTAACAGTGGGCTATGAATTTACAATAGCTTCTACCCACTGGGTGTATCCTGGGACTAGAGGGAGTGCTAAACCACCATCTTAACCAACAAAAAAGCATATTTTCTCTCTAGTAGAATGTCTTTTTTGTAAAATTTGGAATTTAAAAAAAAAATTATTGTACTTTGATTTTAGAGCACTGCCAAATTTGAAAAGTTTTTTTTTTATATGAGGTTGGATATGGAGGTGTGAGGTGGAGGTGGATAATTTTATTCTTTTATCTCTCCTCTTCTACCTTCCACCATTGCTAAAATTAGGTACCTAAAGTGCTGAGTAGAGTATGTTCTTGAAATAAACTTTGCAATGAAATTTGGCAGGGTTATAGAAAATGTGTAAACTTAAATGAAAGAATAGATTAGAAAAATAAAAAATCATTTTTTCAACATTAAGTGAATGCTTCAAGTACAAGTAAGTATTATTTATCAATAAAACCACTTATCAAATTCTTCATTTTAAACAAAAGATACATAATAGTAATGTTTAATTACTCTAGTTTTAAAAATTTCTATGATATTATTATCTTTTTTTTTAAAAAAAAAACAGATATTTTTTGAGAATATGAAACTCTAAAAAATAAAACAACTAAGCACATTTCTTATAGTGTTTTTCAGTTTCACACATAACTGTTTTATTCACTTTAAGAAAATGATATGACCCAGCATATCTAAACTTTTTTTAAGAAGTAATAACACTAATGGATCCTATAAGTGATAATAAACTTAACCTAACATTACGGTACATCACATTTTCAAGTTATGAAATCAACAAATACAATATAGGCTCTAAGCTCTAAATTTTTCATGTGATAAACAACAGTTTCTGAATCTGTTTTCAAATTGGCCCATCTATAATGGCAACCTAAAAAACCTTAAAAATTGATTTTAGATAGTTTAACATGTTATAGTTAAAAACGAGTCATTGGAGTGATACCTTAATAAAATAAACAAATAAAGAAAAAAACAAACCAATAAAAAAAGTAATACAGGTAATAAAAATAAAAAAAAAATCAATAAAAAGACAAAGCAAACAAGCAAAACAAATAACACAAAAAAGGGAAAAAATGAATGAGCTGACATGAGAGATAATGAATTAATGAGATAACACAACGTTTAACGATCAGAAGGATGATAGAGAAAAAATAAAACAAAGGACATTTTAAATATTATTATGAGACAAGAATATGAAATAACTTGAATAATAACAATAAATTTGCATAAAAATTACATTTGATATTCGTGCTATTTACAAATGTAATAAGTTAAAAAAAAAAAAGTTAAAGGTGCTTAAAAAAAGAAATCATAAAAGAAACATAAAATAAAACTTTTATTTATCATCTTACAATAGCAAGAATATTTATTTAGGCAATTTTTCATAACAAACAATAACAAATACAATTACGGAATTTTTTTAAAAAATTAAATGACAAAACAAAAAATTATTAGCTAAAAAATTAAGTTCATGCTAAATTTTATTTTATATTAGCGTCACTTTTGATATTTTAGTTTTCTTTTAGTTAGTTTGTTTAGTTATAATATTTTTATCAAAAAAAAAAATGAAAAAGCATTATTACAAACTTTAAACAACATCTTTTTTTTTATATAATTAAAAAAAAAAAATTCTTTTATGGATATAGCTCTATTATTAATTTTTTTGCTTGAATTAACGCTTAAAACAGTATAACTCTTGCAATGCCTTCTTTTATATTTATTTTGCAAAAAATAGTAGTTTAGAAAAATAATATTTTATAAGCTTTATATAATTAACAGATTGTGCAGTATCAATACATTGAAAACAGACATTTCCTTATAATCTAGAAAGGATTTTGAATAAAAAAGTTGTTTAAAAAAAAATTCAGATTTTTTTTTTCGTTTTTTTTTCCTCCTTTTCTACTTTTTATAAAAAATTCCTCGTAAGCATGTTATAACTTATAACACTGCATGAAAAATATTCATAAAAAGCGCATTAAACTTTGCATTAAAGCAAGTGAAAGCACAAAAGCATATATTTTTTAATTAATGGTACTTGGAAACTTAAATCTTTGTTTTTCACAACAACAAAAAAAGCGCTAGTAAAGTAATTAACTTGATTTTTTTCCTTTGCAACAAGTAACATTTGTTTGTTAATAATTTTTTAAAAGTAAAAAATCATCATTTGCAAAGTTGCAATTTTAAGAAGTAATGAAAAAAAAAAAGTTTAGATATTTTAATTCATTTATGCAAATGTTGAAAAAAGAAAGAAATTAATTAATGTTAAATGTTAATAAAAAATTTAATATTAAATTTAATTATTTAAATTAAAAAAAAAATTGAAACAAAATGGACATTCCACAATATGTACATTTAGAAAATAACAATTCATTTTGTTTTTTCTTATTTAGTAAAATAAACTTGTTTTTATTGCATCAAAAAAGTTGATGTCCTTGAATAAAAAAAAAAATAATTTTATGACAACTAGTGAAAAGCTAATGAGCCAACATTTTTTTAAAATTTAAAACAAGGTCTCTCCATCTATATATATATATATATATATATATATATATATATATATATATATATATATATATATATATATATATATATATATATATATATATATATATATATATATATATATATATATATATATATATATATATATATATATATATATATATATATATATATATATATATAATATATTATATATATATAATATATTATATATATATATATATTTTTTTATATATATATTATATTATATTATATATATATATATATATATATATATATATATATATATATATATATATATATATATATATATATATATATTATATATATATATTATATATATATATATATATATATATATATATATATATATATATATATATATATATATATATATATATATATATATATATATATATAGTGATAAAAAATATTAAACTTTAATACAATTTAACTCATTATAAAGTTTAATTTTTTGTAAATTTTTTGTTTGAAAAATAAAAGATACTCCATATATTGTTTATTTGTTTAACAAACAATAATATTACCTAATTTATATTTGACCTAGAAGTGTTTGAAGGGATCCCCAACTCCCAACACATGCTGTGTTCATATTAAAGATAATGTTGAAAAAAAGGATATGGAGAAAAACTAATCTTGTCATTTTAGTCGAAGCTCACCTTCTCCATTTTACTCAAAAAATCAAGTCTTCAAATTATATGTCGCAATCTACAGACTGAGGTGATTCCTTTGAAGCGCATTCATAAAAGTTTTAGTATTTGATGTCATGGTAGACTTTTGACAAATGAAATTCTGGAAAATTTTTATTTTTTTTATTCATAAATTTTTCTTTATTTTTTTGGTTATTTTTTTTCTAATTTTAACATTTAAAAAAACATTAAAAACTTCAAATATTTTATGCTTGTTTGTTGCTATAAATTGTTATTGCGCTATATTTAATGTTAATTAAATATTCAATCGAGATTCTGATAAAAAATTGTTTTATATTAATTACCCGTACAAAATTAGTAACATCATTTTTATTTGGTTAGACAATATTTTGTCTGAATTTGTTTTGCATGAAGTTCGAATTTTTTTATAACAAAAGTTGGTAAAAAATAAGTAACTAAATAAAAAGTTCAATGACTAAAGGTTGTAAAATTGTGTTGCTACATTTATTGGAAAACTTGTATTTGTCGATTTTGTTAGTTTTTTAATTTTCTATGTTAAGAGACAAATGCCAAATACAACACATAAATTAGGAAATTAATATAATGTTTTTTAACGCTCGTTACGACATTTTGACAATATAAATTAAATCAGCATAATTAAAATTTTTTATAATAAAAAAATTTAACAGTTCATCAAATCTATAATTAATACAGTCAGTATTATCTAATATCTATAATTAATACAGTCAGTTAATGAAATTAATTGTTTATAAATCCGTTTTTTTGACTGGAGAACAAAAAACATTATATTATACATAAATGACCAGAGAAGTTAGAAAGAAGTTCCTATTGTTTAAATGAAATTAAGTAAGGGCATTTCCATTTCTGTGCATGATTTTTTATTTTTCTTTGTTTTAGCAATTAAAAGCTGGGACTTTATGCAATATGCATACTATTTTGATTTTCTTAAAGAACAATTATAACTAAAGTATTTTAATCATATTTTAGGCTATCGGAATAAATTAAATATACACATTTTTACAATTTTATTTTTTTGAGTAATAATATCGCAACATTTTGAAAAATATACAATAATTTTCAAAATGCCATACTCTAGCTTGAAATAATTGATGACTGCGGTTTCTCATCGAAAATATATAAAATATGAGTCCCAGAAGTATAATATTTCACTTGAAATACTCACTAGCAATTTATTTTCATAAAAATAACTACATGAAATTGACAAATTTGCAACATCGGTGCGTGACTTTCGTGCGTGATCATTCATAAACTGCATTTAAATGATTGCTGTGACTCTATGATTCATAGTGCAATCCTGTAACTTTCTGGAAATCTTTACTAATGTTTAAAATATTATTTAAAAAAAAAAGTATACCGGTGAAA